ATTTCTGTCAAGATTTTTTTCTTGTCCAACCAATTCTGTAATTGATTTTTATTTCCTTTATAGCTCGCTCTATTCTATATCTCATGTAGGTATTATGTCCCGTATTTCCTCTGAATTTACATAATTTTTCTAGACTTTTCCTAGAAACGTACAAGTACATCTGTAACTGTTAATATCCTATTTATTTTAATTTTGTTTACTTCCTCCTCTTCATTATTGTCTTTCATGGACGTGATAATACGTAATATATTCGTTTTAGACACTTCACTCCTTTGATGTTTCAACAGTAATTGTCAGTGTTCCAATGCTCTTCAATATTTGAATGTGAACGTGATTCTTATGAAAATACCTCAAAGCTATAAAACATTATTGCATGAAAACTTTTTATAAAAACACTGATAAATAAATCCTTTGCACAATATTCGAATTTGTTTGATGCACTTGCAGAATAAGCTCTTTTAGTCTTCATCAAAATACCTATTTTTCTATGAATTTTATTGAAATAGATGTATGCTTAATTTTTCTTTAAAATTTACTCTATTCGCAAGATCAACGATAGGTTTTTCTGGAGATAAAGTGTTTTGCTGGGACTTGCTTCAAAAAATATTTGATATCAAAACTGAACTGAAAACTTGTTTAAAACACATACATTTGATTTCTATAACTTCTATTAGTCAGACCTCATCGTCTGACGTTACAATTTATTCGTCTTATTACCAGGTACTCAAGGAATAGACCATTAAAGTATAACTGACCGCCCCACAAATGGTCCATAAAGTACTCTAGGTACCGCTATGACTGTATACGCTCTAGACGTTTCGCATTTTATTCTTTTTATATGAAGAACTAGGTCGGTTTAAACTATAGAGTTAATGAATCAAACACTAAATGCCTCATTCTCCAATCAGATTTTTTTCACAGCAGAGGAAGCAAAGGTTGATCCTAATTATACAAAATTACATTTTTCACAAGTCGAATATTAGAAAGCGAAGGCGAAATCTTAATCAAAGTTCCGTTTAGAATCGATTCTTTTGAAACAATTATGAAGACATCGTTAACATTTTTTTGAGAATGATTCTTTCAATTAAAACAAGGTTAGTGGAGCCCCCATGCATCGGATTCTTATTTTATGAATTACGAAACGCGTAGCTAATTATAGATTTTTTTTTTAGGAATTCATTCAGGTGCACATGGAAATTTTGCTAAAAATCCCTCAGCAGGAGGCTTATATATTTATATATTTCCGGTTATAGGTAGTCGCTCTATTCAAAGTTACTTTTTGTATTAAATATTGTCGCTTTCTAGTTCTACAGGGAAAAATTTGGCCATTGAATAACGTGTGAAAATATGTTAATGTCCAATTTATATATAGTTCTATGTTCTATGCATTGAAATAGTTATTTTTTGTGACTTCTCATGCGATATTGCGTTTTAGTTTTGTCGCTTTTCCTTTTTAGGAACATTAAAGGAATACTTAATCAGTTGAAAGAAACAAATACTTTTGCTCGTTTTGGCTGGTTGCGTATTTTCATTTAATTTGAATTTTATTGGTGGGAAAACTTACTTAGAAAGTAAACAATATTAGTGATGTTATAAGAAATCTTTCAAACATTTCCAGTGAAGCTCAAATGATGTAAGACTAATGGGTCCTATAGGGACTTCGCCGTATCCTGTTCTATTTTTCCAGGTTTTTGTATGAATGCGCCTCCAGGCCTTTGGTATATAGAGGGAAAAATATCATCAGTCAGTGATTCTATATAGATGTTGGTCTTAAGACCCATGACGAGTACAATAGGTCTAGAGCTGAACAGTCAGACCTAAGATGGTTTCCCCCAACACAAGAATCTACATAAAGACATGTAGAGCAAACCTTCCAAAAATTTAAAGTCAATCATCGATTACCTTATTACTGCATAAAAAACAAAATTGAAAATACAAGAAACTTAGAACATCGCCATGCGATAAATCAGATAGAGAATTCGAATCAATAGAAACAAGAATTCGCCAAGCTGCAAATGAAGCATAAGGTTGAATAAAAGAGAACACCTAAAAAAAGAGAGCCATAATGGTGTAATGAAGAGATTGAAAGAGAAATAGAGGATCTAGAGACACAGTTGCAAAAGACCATAGCTGATGGACATGTACGTTAAGTACTAACTAGAGTTTATGAAACTGTGGACCTTCAAGGAACAAGAATTCCCACTACTTTCCTTGCGATTCCTAGTCATGAGCATAGCAAAGCACTCCTAGGGATAGACTTTCTATTGAATACTCAAATGGTGTTAAACGTTCCAAAATGGCAATGGTACTTTGAGGATCCTTCACAAACTTTTGACCTCTTCAAGGAGCATGGTGTTCAAGATTCTTCTGCAGTGTCTCAGGCAGCGTTTCAACTTAAAGATACTGATGGGAAGAATTTAGTTGCCAATGAGAAATTACAATTAGAGCATTTACTGCAATCACATGCATCAGTATTTGAAAAGGACAAGTGATAACATACGCTGAACATACCATTCAGTTGACTAATGATAATCCTATTTTTCAACCACTATATCGTATTGCATTTGCAGAAAAGTATATTTTGTAAAAGTTACTCGATGAACTCCTTGAAGATGGGATCATTGAGGAATGTGAATCGCCTTATGCTTTTCCAGTTGTTTTGGTTCCAAAACCTGATGCACCTGTGTGTTGATTATAGACGATTGAACAGTATTACTGTTCCAATACAATACCCATTACCTAGAGTAGATAAAAGTCACTTCGTTCGACTGCTAAGGCTGCCTACATTAGAACTCCTTACTTGAAAAGTGGTTACCATCAGATACCAGTGAAGAAGGAAGACCGAGATAAGATTTCTTTTATTACTCCTTTTGGTACTTTTCGATACAATGCTATGCCTTTTGGATTGAGAACAGCACCCGCAATCTTTCAAAGGCTCGTTGAAAGATTTCACTCAGGGTTACCACATATAAGTATGTTGGCTTATTTAGATTAAATTTAATAAACCAATAATTAAAATTCCTTGACAGATATTTATAACTAAATTTTAGAATAGGTATATTAAAAGTTACTTTTACTCTTTGTATCGTTCGATCAATAATTAGCCCGCTCATGATTATTAATTTATTGATTAAAATCAGTTTTTTAAAGGTCGTTTTTTTTTCAGTCTAGTTCCTTAACTTAACTACGATGACTACTACTCTACGAGTACAGATACCTACTCAATGTCTGTTTTTACCATGTTTGATTATTGATTTAAAAAGCTAATATCTTCCATTTCAAGGACTTTGTGACGTTTTTCCTCCAAAAAAACTGGCATATTATTTAAAAAACTACATCAATAATCACCTGTTTTACGGTTTACGGCCATAACAGGTTGCTCTTATTATTAATAGCTGGTGTCCAGGGTCATAGAGTATTTCAATTTATTCCTTCAATTCTATTGTAAATTGTAACAGGTAGTCAATTTGCTTTTTAATGTCACCTTGTCATGTATATAGGATATAATAAAATACATAATTTACATTTGAAAAGTTTGATTTTCATCAACAAATGATGGAATGATGTCTTTACATTAAAGTTTCTATACTTGCATCCAAAATATTTTAAGCAAATAGCTTAATTAGCGCCTCACTTTAGAAAGTTATGTTTTATGTTCAAATAAATAATATTGCTACATTAATTACCGACAATTACATTAAAGTTTTGAAACTACAATATTTTAATTAAAATTACAAGGAAATTTAGAAATTCTTACCCAATTATTATCCTTAAACAACGACATTGTGATCCAAATCAAAGTTAGTCCTTTTCACATTCTTGGATATAAAAACTCACTGTTTGACACACAAAGTTCAGAAATATAGTCAACTGATTCTTCTACCGCGTTTGTATTGGAACAAATTTAAAACAATAACTGGAACCCCACAGTTTGCTAATTTAAACAATTTATTGCCGCGCAGACACCGTTGATGACCTTTTGCCAATTTATTTATTGCTTTTTAAATGATGGCAGTTTTTTTTTCGGGGCGTTATTGTTACCAGTTCAATTAGTACCTTAGTTGACTGAATTTAAACACCGTATATTAAACCGTATTATTGCGTCGCAAGCGGTGTATAGGTACCGCGGTACTATTGTTTATTCTATACGCTACCTGCTCTGCCGCCGCGCCGGTTCAAATTTACTTTCTACCATATCCGCGGTACCATTATTAGTAACAATAGCATGGGGGGAACTTTGTTGGTTTTAGATCACTTATAGCTTATCACGTGATAGGTACTATCGCTATGCGTTATTTTTGTTTTGCAACTATTAAAGTTTTAGGATAAAAAAACATTTACATATTTTGTTGATAAATACTCAAACAGCAAAGAGACATCTTGAAGATGCCCCTGATGTTCCACTATTCCAAACGCTGGGCTCTTTAATTTTTAATTTGGTTTAAACGAAAAGATATACCTTCACCAAATTCATTTTGGAAAAAAAACCAGTAGAAGTGCCAGGAATGAAAATTAAAAAACAAATCAAGAGTCTGAAATTCTAAAATACGGGGTTAATGGAGAATTCAAAACTTGTTTTTATCAGAATTTTCATTGGTTATCTGTTTACCTTTGTTTTTATTTTTATGCGGTCTTTTATTTTGTTCTTTAATTTAAATTACATTTAGAAACTACTATTTAACAGAAATTTCTGCAGAAATCACAAACCAGTGAATTTCATTGGTTGAAACTAGTTTGCCGACTGTTTTCAACCAATGAAATTCGCTCTGACTGGTTTGTGATTTCTGCAGAAACAGACCTAATATTATGTAGTGTATGATTGAGATAAAATAAATAAATTTCTTTATAGCTATCAAGGCAATTCTGGCTACATTAGTTTGTGAGAGAAACAGTTAGATTGTCCCAATTGATCTCTGGCTCTAGGTAGTTCAAGTCTCCAATTACATACACAGGAAGTTTTTCTATAAAGATGAGATTTTGATAAAAATACATATATATTTTTAAATTGTCCAGGTAAGCAACAAAATCATATAAGTTTAAAAATTTCTAGTATTTATTGTATATACCAAGTCAGTATAGAAAGATTATATTTACTATAATTCATCTTTTTGATTTGCTCCTAAACAACTACAAGGAATGTCCTTTTTTTGATTAACAAGCTCCATATCGTTAAGAATATTTACTTCACTAACAATGACCTTGCTTAGTTGATTTAACAAATGCATATGATAACAAAATATGTGCTTGGGCAACAAATTTTCGTTGACAAACTTTTGTCCGTTTTGTGCAATCACTTTGGCTTCATTGTCGTGGCTTTTTGCCCAATTAATTTTTTCTACGAGATCAGACAGGTCAGTTTTAACAGGAATATAATGAGTATTTGCTTCTAAATCTCCGTAAAAATGTTCGTAATACTTTGATTGAGGTTTAAAAACCAAAGATCCTCCGGCTAGTAAAAATGGCATTCGGTAAGCTGCTACTGTCCCATCTATTGCCAATTGATACTTGTACTAAAATATGTTCATAATTAATAGATTATATTATCCAAATTGCATCAACTTACATCAAAAAACCTAAAAAAGGAAACATGATCAGTTTTTGGTCCATAAACATCCTCTTCATCACGATAAAAGAAAAAATTTGTTAAAGAAACATTAAACAACTCAGGGAATTCTCTGGACAGGCTTATTAAATTAAGCCTGTGTCGGTTTGAGTCTCGCCCTCTCCAAAACAATTTTGCTTCCCTTTTATCCCATAAAGCCTCAACATTGCCTTGCACAGAAAGCATATCCAACATTACTCTCCCCATATTTTCCAAAGAAGCTTCTGTAAGTTCATAAGTTGGCATGATAATGTCGTTACTTTCAGTGCTGCCGCACCATGAAAATATAGGGTACTTTTCAGGCATGTCTTTCAAGGACAAAGGCCAATCGCCCAAGTTAACAAAAAATTCCAAATCAGGTATGGTAGCTTTTCTTATTAGTGACAATAAAATACTATCTGAGAACATATGGAAACCTACATATTTGCCATAGCATTTTCTATAGAGTTTGTTGTTTTTTATGATGTAGTGACACAGGCTCACCGAGTGAGGCTTATCAAATTGACTTACAATCTAAAAAAAATTACTCATTAAAATTTGAGAATAAATTATCAAAGAACTTACTTTGGGCCTTAGTTCATTCCAATTAATCTTATTGTCGAATACATTAAAATCATTTAAAATTTGCTTAGGTATCTCAGGACACTCCCATAAATCTAACAAGTGGGTCAGACTTTTTTGAGGACAATTACACTCATCTGAATATATTTTTTCATCAATTTTATATGGAGATTCTGCTACATGTTGATTTTTATGTTTAATGCTTATAATAACACTGGAACAAGTATCATATACTTTGTATCTTACTATTAAGGAACCGTCCTTTCTGTCTAATATATTAGACCATATTCGACAAGGTTTATCTTGTTCAGTTTTACCTTCAATGATTATATCAAATTCTTTTTCAAGACTAGAAGATATGCTGTTGTGATAAAATAAAAAAAAAAGTAACATTTTTGTATACATTGGAACAGATAATAAATTACCTGTTATTATGTTCATCGACTCCTTGTATAAAGAAGTATCTTGCTGGCATTACAATGTTGTGGGGCACCAGCCCAGGGCCCCAAACTTTTGATAATTTTGCATTAGGAATCGTAGAATCGACAGCATTGAATGAGAAGAATAAAAACGTAAAGAAATGTTTCAATTTTGCTTTTTTTCTATTGATTTGCATGGTTTTAATGTGTTTTAATCTAATTTTTGTTTGTCTGAGGTTTTTTTTGAAAAAATATTCGAACCTCACTTTCTGACGGTTGGTACACAATGTTGCCACATTTTCAAAAGAATTTCTTTGTCTCCTTAGGCGATTTCGGCAAGCTTTGGTTCAAGGTTTGGTACCCTGTTCGGTCTGTCAAATGCATACCAACCAATTTCGAATACGAAAATGATGGCGCCACCGTGACCAATCTGGTATCCTTTTTGGTCTGTCAGATAGGATCAGGGATGTTCAAAGGTGCACAATTGTGAATATCATGCACAATCTAATCTCAATATCCACCATGCACAATCTTCATAAAATATGCACAATTTTCGCAATCCAACCAAAACAAAATTATTTTCCTTCAGTAAGCCTTTGGCCACATCGCCTTGCGTATTGGTTGTGGGTACTCATACAGTGACTGGTACTCAAGGTGGGTACTGACATCTGTTATTTTGGAAGCTAAGCTCTAGACTTGTAACCAAAGCTTGTAATTGGGAAAAAAGAGCCAGATGAGCCACATAATTAGCTTTGTTTTGATTCGAAATTTGGAACGGTTCTGGGATTGCGCAGAATTGCTTGCGCACAAATAATGATACAGGACTGTTCTAATACTAATTCTGAACCGGTTCGGAACCAAAAAAACCAAAACACGCCCCAAATCACAAAAATTCCAAAACAGTTCCTCCGCAGAGCAAGAACTGAGAGAACTGTTCTAGAACAATCCCAGAATTGTTCTTAAATTGTTCTAGATAAACCAAAACACTGTCAAAACAAGCTTTGTTTTTGTTCGCAATTTGGAATGGTTTTGGGATTGCGCAAAAAAAAGGATGTAGGACTGTTCTAATACTAATTCTGAACCGATTCGGAACCAAAACACCTTGCAAATCATAAAACTTCAAAACAGTTCCTCCCTCAGAGCAAGGACTGAACCGTTCTAGAACAGTCCCAGAATTGTTCTTATGTAGTTCCTAATAATCCAAAACGCTGTCAACACAGTTCGATTACGATTCTGAAAAAACGAAAACGCGTATTATGACATGCGCATGTGCAGAATGATTCGGAACTAGTTCTGAGTGAAACCAAAACAAAGCTAATAGCGGCTTACTTCTATTATTGGCATCACTATTGGAGAGCTCTGTTCCAACAGGCATGAGAACTCTTCTAGAACGGTAATTTCCAGTTGATCAACAGAGCTAAGGTTTATCGCGAGTCACTGTAATTTTTATTTTATTTCTTCGCCATCCAAGGTTGTTTGAGAGAGGTAGGTTGCCTAATAACTTTATGACGTCATCAGAGGTGCCTCATCATAATGCAAATCACCATAAGGCACCCCAGATGCGTCATCAAGTTACCCATTACCAGGCAACCTGTTGAACCCCCCGACGCGCCGCCACTGTTTTTAACCACTACGGCCATCCACGGCACAAAAACTAAAGATTAACAAACAACAAAAAGTTAGGTTAAGGCTCGTCTCAGTCGTCTCTTCCCCCTTCCCCTCTCACGTGACCTAATAAACGAATTTGGAAGAAAATGGTGTCTTGCGTCATTACGTTGCAGGTTCCAATTGGTTAACCAGATGGTATACCAATCAAAACTTTCCGAAATCTCCTCTTATTTACTACTATCCTTAACCCTTTTCACGTGGCTCCGGTTTAACAAACCGCAACATACCGCTCAAATTCAAGTGGTAGGTATCCACACGTCACTTTGTAACCGGGTTAGAAAACGGTAGGTCATTTCTTTAACCGTTTTGTAACCCGGTTAGTTAAACCGGAGCCACGTGAAAAGATCTCTTGCGCTCGGTAGTTTGCTCGAAGAGCAAAGCCGCTCGGAAGAAACTAATCACAAAAAAAAAAAAAATCAATTTGTTCAGAATTTCTCGGATCATGATTCGCTAACTGTCAAATATCAAAATGCGGAAGAACGTGATCACTGGAACATAACGCGTTTTGATCAACTGATCCGGTCCTAAAGAATGCGGCTCAGAGCGGAGCCGTAAACACGTCACCGGCGAGCACCAGAGCAGTTAAACGCTGTATCCGAGGCACTGAGGTAGATCAGAGGCGTTTCTTCACGGGGCGAATGGTTCAAACTACGGTTTAAACCATTTTGTAGATGACGTCATCATTGGTGAACGCGAGAAAATGGCCTGTATGAACACAGTCTTATGTCAACAAGGACGGCGATTCTCGAATCGTGTGATCCCTGTTCTCATAGGAAAAATAGGCGTGGTTCTATTAAAATCTATTCTCGAAATTAAGGACCGTTCACTTCCTATGAAAGTTGAGAGAATTTTATTCTACTACTTTTTTTGAAGAGAACGCCTGTTCTCGGAAGAACCAAACGTCAAATATGCGCTTTTTGTCAATTCTACAGTCATCATCCATCATCCATGGTATTTTTTTGTTTGTTTTGCAAATAATTTACTATCAGTAATTGCCAATTGGGTACAGTTGCATATAGTGTTGAAGTGGAAAATACGGTCCAATACGAAAACGTGGGGTGGGAAACCATGGAAGCTGGGGTTATTCTTTAAAATTCTTGTACTGAATGATCTACTAGATGCAGAAGAGCAAGAAGAAAGGCCTATAAAGAGATTTTACAGAAGTAAAAATCCTTTTGATTTAAAACTATTTAGATTAAGCAAAGATCTTACTCGAAATTTAATTGATTTATTGTCACCTTTTATACAGGCTTCAACTAGAACTTCATCATTAAAAACTGTGGTAAAATCGGAGGTAAATTTTCCACTTTGAAGTTTCTCATTTTGTCTTACAAATTCAATGAACATTTCTTTTTGTGTATGATGTATAGGTGAACATCTTCATTTTTCCCTTATTTTTCCAAATTTATTTTCCACAAAAACAAAACAACACGAAAATAAAAATTGGAAATAGAATGATTAATTAATGAATGAAGGCTTTCACGGCCAGTCAAATCTAGTAAAAAAGTTTTTGCCGGGCTATAATGCCGTGGTCCATTAGTATTTCTACCTAACGTTTCGTCTACTGCTGCGGTAGACATCTTCAGAGGCGGTGTGGTAGAGGACGAAGTGTTCTCTTCCCTGTTCCTCCGATGACTGGATTCGACGTTGTTGGACCTGCGTTATTCATATCCAGGGGTCCAACGCAGGTCCAACAACGTCGAATCCAGTCGTCGGAGGAACACGGAAGAGAACACTTCGTCCTCTACCACACCGTCTCTGAAGTTGTCTACCGCAGCAGTAGACGAAAGGTTAGGTAGAAATACTAATGGACCACGGCATTATAGCCCAGAAAAAAACTTTTTTACTAGAATGATTAATGATTTGATTTTCACTTTTCAGTAAATAAATAGACAAAGAATGAGGTTACGTCCCAAAACACAAATAAAACCAATGAACTATAACCAAAAACTGGAATGCTAACACATAAGGACGAACGTGAAGCCTAGTGCGGCTGCTGCGGAGGGGATACCTGTTTTTGTCGCACTCATTATGTTAAATGGCGAAAATTGCTTCCAACACGTATTCCATTTGATGAAACCTGTGAAGGGAAATATGACAAAACTTTCGAAAACGTCATATGTCAGCGAGCAACAGAAAAAAACAACATTCCCCGTTGTGGCATCTGTCTTTCATGGCTTCATTTTTTTGGCAGATATGGCAATGTGTGCGCATTCCAGTTTTTAGCTCTAGTTCATTGAATAAAACAATCTGATTTTCTTCTTTCTCATGACATTCGTCCTTTTAACGCACTAAAATTGTGGCTACTTCTACATATTACTGTTGGCAACAACGCATTATGATTTGACAAGTTTTCTCTCATTCTCTCATAATCCCATACTTTCGAGAATCCCAACTTTGGCACCAAGAGAACGAGCGTCCGATGTGATATATCACTTCTCTTAGGGGAACGTTCACTTCTACCAAATTCGAGAATCGACTACCTAACAAGCCAAGTATTGCGGTTCAAACTTTTTTGAACCAGGTTCAATGTGACGTCACTAGTTAAACGCAAGAGTGTACCTAAGTGAACCGGATCTTAATATAGGTGCCCTAGAACTCAATGCCTAGAACACATCGAAATTTACTCTTCTTTTATTCGCAGTTCATTTAAAACCGGTTTTTATTCGCAGTTCATTTAAAACCGGTTTCAGATGGTTTTTGAACTGGTTCTCAAAGTTCCAAGTAGTTCGATTGCTGTTCCGAACTAGAGAAAATCATGAACTGGTTTATTAATATACGCATACGGTGCACAATTAATATTCTAGAACCCATTTAACTTACAATAGTCGAATGAACCTCTAAACTAGACCACAATCAAAAAATATCCTGAATTTGGGTCCTAGAACACATTGAACTTACTCTATTTTTTGTTCGTAATTCAAAAAGTTCAAGTAGAAAGAGTTCGAAATCGATTCTGAACTGATTCTAATTTGGAATAGGGTTGTTCGGACTTATTTCAGAATCAGTATTGAACTAAACTGCGCTTACGCATTTGTTCATATCGAACATGCATTCTGAACAAACCCATTATTGCTACGAGGTTCCGAACACATTCAATTGTTCGCAGTTCATTTAGAACCGGTTCCAAATGACTGGTTCTCAAAGTTGCAAGTAGTTAAATTGCTGTTCTGAACTAGAGAAAATCATGATCTGATATATTATTATACGGATATGGTGCACAATTAATGTCCTAGAACCATTAAACTTACTATAGTTCATTGGTTCCAGATCATTTCTGGACTGGTTTTTGGAATTCCGAGTAGTTCGATTGCCGTTCCGAACTAGAGAAAATTATGAACTAAATTATTATTAAACGCATACGGTGCACGAGAATCCTAAATTAGTGTCCTGGATCACATAGCAATTCATTTAGAACTGGTTTTAGATCATTTCAGAATTGATTTTTAGAGTTCGGACTGCTACAATTGCTGTTCCGGATTCGGAATAAACTAAACTGAATTTTATTGGAGCACCTTGATTGTTCGTAATTCAATCAAAACTGGTTCCGAATAGATTTTGAAGTCTTGAACTGGTTCACAATCGAACAATCTCTAATTTGTGTCCCAGATCATTGAATTTACTGTTCTTTGTTCGCGATGCAACTAGAATCAGTTCCAAATCGGTTTTATTTGTTCTTAAACCCAAAAACCTGTTCCGGCCTTTATACTCTTCAATATTCCAACTTACTCTATTTACTTCAAAGTAGTAAAAAAAAAAATACAATTTTGAACGATTTGCTTACTCAGAGCACTCCAAATATGGCAAATAGAGGAATTATGTTCTTGTTTGAGTATAAAGAGGGAAATAAATACAACTTTTTAATGAATAAACCTATTCTATTTACTCTGACGCAGTGGTACGAGTAAACAGAGTTAAATTTAGTGCGTTAAAACAACTATCTCAGACCAAATGGAGTAACTGGTAACGTTGCCCGATTAGTTTCGAACATAAAAAAACCTACACTGGATCCCGAATTGGTGTTCTAGGGGCAACAATAAACAGAATTTGAGTAAAAAATGTCGATTGAAACGAAATCACCTATGAAAAGTACGAAAACATCAAAATGCCGGTAATGCAGGCACCTGCAACGATAAATAAAATTCTATTTTAGTTAAGTCACTTGTCATTTTCAAAATAAAACTCTATCAATCAAAGGCGTTTTTTTGCGAGGCGAGTGGTTCAAACTACGGTTTAAACCAATTTGTAGATGACGTCATCACTCGTGAACGCGAGGCAATGGAAGGATTGATCACAGTCTTATGACAACGGAGAACAAGCCAAGAGTCCGGGTCGAACTTTTTTGAACCAGGTTCAATGTGACGTCACTGGTTCAACGCAAGAGAGCCGGATCGAACCAGTTCCACCGCGAGGAAACAGCTGAGGTCTCAAATTTTAATAAACGAACGTGAATGAGCCTGCACCGAGTACACTTTTTAAATAAACGAGCGGTAAATTTATGCTCGGAGAACTCAGATCAAAATACCGAACGCACGGTTAATAGTCAGAAACAGGAAAATGCCAGTGGCGTACACTCGATCGACCTACGAATGGAGAACCATACGAAAATATTAGGCAATTCGAACCATGTGACATTCAAGATGGCGTGGCGGCCATACATGGGCCAAAAAACACAAAAAAATATTTAGTTTCTGCCCGAATTAATAGTTTAGGTACCTAGTCAACAAATATTTTATTAAATAATGAAAATCAAAGTTGTAAGCAAAACTGGATGCAAAATAATTTAAAATACGCATAAAAACATATTCAAAACAAACTTGCTTGGCCGCCACGCCACATTGAATTTTCCTTTTTGACAGATTGATTGAATTGCCTAATACAAAACTGTATAGTTCTTTTCACGTGGCTCCGGTTTAACTAACCGGGTTACAAAACGGTTAGAGAAATGACATACCGTTTTCTAACCCGGTTACAAAGTGACGTGATGGATACCTACCACTCGAATTTGAGCGGTATGTTGCGGTTTATTAAATCGGAGTCACGTGAAAAGGGTTTATGATTATTTAAAAACTGTACATATATAAGAAAAAAAAGAAAAATACTAAATTCATGTAGCTAAAGCCTAAAATTTTGTGCTTTGTTTTGTTTAGGTAGAATTTTTTTCATCCTAACCTTGAAAACCTGTTAACGGATTATCTTTGATTTTTGAACGAACTTGTGAATCCTTTATATGTCCTTTATTCTTAAAATTCCTCACCAAGATGAGTTCAGAAAGCCAAACAAAAGTCTCGAATAAAGTTAATTGCCCAATTTGCAACAATACTTTCGCTGAAACGGAAATCGAACAGCACGCAAACAAATGTATATTTTTAAATTGCGAAGACAAGCAGCAAAAACGTAAAAGATCGCCGTCGCCGGTTCTCCCAGCTTTTGGGACCCAAAGGAAGTTTAGTTTCACTCAAAAGAGCCCCAGAGACGCGAAAAAGGCTCAGAAGCCTTCTGCGGCAACTGGTAGTAGCACACTTTGTAGTAGTAATGGAAAATCTTTGGCACCCTTTTTTAAAAAAATAAACAATGATACCATAGTTATCGAAGAAGAAAAAGAGAAACCAATTACTAAAAAAACACCTTACGATCTCACATTCAAAACTCCTCTAGCGATTCAGGTAAGACCAAAGACCCTAGAAGAATTTTTCGGTCAAAATCACATATTAGGCAAAGACACCGTCTTACATTCTCTATTAGAAAAACCTGATATTCCCAATATGATTTTGTGGGGTCCACCAGGTTGCGGCAAAACCTCATTGTCTCAAATAGTCCATGAAACCTGCAAGAAACACCCAAAAAAATGGAAATTAGTCTCTTTATGTGCAGCAACTTGTGGTATAAAAGAAGTCCAAAGCGTTGTCACTTTAGCTAGAAATGATTTAAAGTTTGGTAAGAAAACTGTACTGTTTATGGATGAAATTCACAGATTTAATAAGAAGCAACAAGATGTGTTTCTGATGAGTGTTGAAAAAGGGGAAATTATTCTAATAGGAGCTACAACAGAAAATCCAAGTTTTTCTCTAAACGGAGCTTTACTTAGCAGGTGTAGGGTGGTAGTTCTTGAAAAACTAAATTCAGAAGAGTTATATGGTATAGTAGAAAATGCTGCAGAGTTTTTCGAAGTTGATATTATTGATGATGAAAATCCTGCAGGGACATTTGAAGACGCTAACGCCGGGTAATTTTCAATTAATACCAATCAAAAGCTATTTTAGTAAATATTTCAGGTTGGCAATAAAGCGATCTGCTTTAAAATGGATGGCAGATATAAGCGATGGAGATGCCAGAACTGCTCTTGGTAATTTACAGCTTGTTTTGACATATTTTGATAAAAACTCAAACAAAACTGTTACTGTTGAAGATATTGAGGAAAAATTAAAAGTAAGTTTTAGATAATTTATTCAAAATAGGCTTGTTATAGTATTATTAATTTTTAGAAAGGTCATCTTCTCTATGATAAGGCAGGTGAAGAGCACTATAACATTATATCAGCGATGCATAAAAGCATCAGAGGCTCTGATGAGAATGCTGCTCTTTATTGGACCACAAGGATGATAGTCAGTGGTGAAGATCCCAGATACATTGCCAGAAGAATGGTAAGGGCCGCAAGCGAAGATATTGGAAATGCCGATCCTCATGCTTTACCTTTAGCAGTTGCCACCATGCAAGGTTGCCAACTTATCGGTATGCCAGAAGCTGATGTACTTTTGGCACAGTGTGCAATTTATTTAGCTAGGTAAGAACTTCAATATGAGTATACTACTCATGTGACTCAGAGGCATCGTCTACCTGCCAAATAGTTGTTCTTTGAAGTCGTTAACTAGAATCAGCATCTAAGTCTTTTTTTTTGTTTGTCTGCAAAAGCCCACTTTTTTTTTTGTTGAGAATTTCTACAGAAGATCCAAATCTCATTGTGTATAGTCCAACAAATACCTTTTTAAAGTCACGTGATTTTTCTCTATCCTTGTTGAATACATCTCAAACAGCGGTGATAGTAAAATTGACAAAAAAATTGCTGTCTAATTATTGTTCATAATATTCTTACCTGAAATAGAATCTGTCACTGCCATCAATTAGTTTGTCAAAGTTATTTTCGAAAGTAATACAACGAACAAACACAGCTAATAATTTTGACTATATTAACCTTTTTCCAACTCGAAAAGAAGCAAATAGAAAACGGGTACTCAGTTTAAGGTCAGAATGTATTACAACAGACAGCAGATGCAACAAAAGTGAATCTTGCAACAATTGCAAGTATTAAAATTGCCCTCTGATTGGTCAATACTACTTCAGAAACGCGTTTGTAAAATGCTAGTGGGAACATATATTAAAAAACAATAGTAATTAACCACCAGTAGCTTTTTGTAGGTGATATCAACGACATAATCAATGGACATACGTTTTTTGCCACCAGGATCACGTGACTTTAAAATGACTATACTTACTCTCCTGGCTAGGAAGTAAACTGCAAATGAACCACAAGTCTGTTTACCATGCCTTGATTCAAACCAGAATGTCATATGCAATATTGGGTTGGGGCCATGACCCAAGTATATAATGACTGGATTGCGGAGGAGGGCTGTAAGGGCTATATGTGATTTGAGTGGCATGAACAGCTCTATAGAGCTTCAATAGAATGAATGAGAATTTTGTGTATAATTAATTCACTTTTTCAGAGCACCAAAATCCAGAGAAGCTGATTCTGCTCTAGCTAAGGCAAAACGCCTAATAAAGGAACATAAAGGACCACAACCCTCCGTGCCTATGCATATTAGGAATGCACCCACAACATTAATGAAAAACTTAGGTAAGGAATCATTTGCTATTTGGTTTGTTCCTATTTCGCTCAACGAGTAAGAAAAATTATTGTGGTGACATTGGAACAAACCTATCTTAGCAGTGTGGTGCAAGTTCTTACAAAAAAGCTTTATTCTTAGGTTATGGCACGTTGGAACAAGGTACAGACTTCACATTTTTGCCACCAGAATATAGTGATGTTAATTTTTTCCAATGATTTTATTTGTTTGTTAAATTTTCAATAAATATTTCCCTAATTAGTTTATAATTTATCCTTTATCTCCCAAAAATAAAACAACACATGATACATTTCAATCGATTTATTATCGACAAAATCTGTAATATACAGACCAACTACATTGCAATTTCACTTGAACAGTAAAACTAAATTCAAATCAGTCCGTTTTAGACAAAAATACAATGCAAAACCGACCCAGAGACTTGTAAAAACATTACAAAATAATCTATACACAGTTTAAAAAAACAAAAAAAAAAAAATACTTAAAATTTAATCATTTAATAAAAATTTCCTAATTCAATTGAACTCCCTTCGAGACTATATTTTTCCCGTTCTAATACACACATTCAGGATATTTGTAAAAATTTAAATAAAATTTAAAACATTGTATATAATAGTGGTTCCTATGGGGAAGTTAATGGAGAAAAAAGAAATCCAATACTCGAAAACCATTCAACAACGAAATGGTCATTTATGCACTGTTGTTCAAAACAACATTCCTAAACAGTTTCAAAAAAAAAAATAACTCACTGTCACATCACATCTTACAAGTACGCCTAAATCAATTAATTGATAAAATGGAATTTATATTTATAATGTCGGTGTGATGACTTTTTTACATGAAGTTTTCACTAAACTTTTGTTTAAACTTAAAACTGATCATTACTTTTTCTTAATCAAATCAAATCTGTAATCTGGTCCGGCCATGTCAATGGCCCATCTGAATTTGTCTCTTTGAGTTTTGTTGTACACTTTTTCGATTGGGACATCGTACTTTTTGCACCAGGCCACCGATATTCTTGGGTCCAGATAATTCAATTTTGAAGTGCCAAGAGCGATGGTTTTATTCTCATCTCGGTCAGTTACCTGTAAAACAATAATATTATTATGCCTAAAAACTATTGCAAAACATCACAGTATTTGTTTAAGAATCAAACTTGTTTTGTGAGCCTGTAAATTCCCTTACCTGAATCTCAAGTCTAGCCAACTGATCTCGCAGCCTTTCCAACATTTTCTTTTTCTTATCGTAATTCACTTTTTCCTTGACACTTCCGTGCTTGGCCTCTTTTTGAGCATCCTTCACTTGTCTTTCGCCGTCCTTAACTTGATCCCTTTTCGCGTCAATTTTTTCCTTCAATTTTTCCATAGATTTTTCATGTCCTTTCGGCACGGCCCTTTGATGGTTACACAAAATAGCCACTGCCCTATTGGCTCTGTTGTATGATAGAATTTTTTCGGCCAAACTATCATCTTCATTAGTTAATTCGTCTAATTGCTGTTGTAACGTCCAGGATGCGTTGTAAGTACGGAAAACTTTGGCAGTTAACCCTTCCATTAAATCATTCAAATGTTTATTCATGATTTGAGTGTTCAGTCTGTCAAATAGATCGTCTCCTTTTTTTTTGTTGTCCATAAATAGTTGAAGATTTTTAAATACTCGTTTCTCCACTGGTACTTCGTTGTAGTACCTTATGGAATCTTTACCTAAGAAGTCAAAGATGACTACATAATCCTTGCCATCTTTTTCCTCCTGAAGCTCTATGTGTTCAACTCGTAAAGAGCAACAACCCACAGTATCTGCTTGATCTTCATCCTTTTCATTACCAGCTCTCAGAGCTAACTTATCAATAAAATACAAAGCAACAGCTCTTTGACGAATTTTCATTTCTTTAGATTTCCAGTCAGCCTGGTAATTTTCTCGAATTTTATCAACTTTTTGATGAAGTTTCCTAGCAGTTTCGTACTTTTGCCAATCTTTTTCTCCTTTCAGCTTGGAACTGGGGTTCAACATAATGTATTTTACTTGGTTTTGTACGTTTTCTGTCCACGAAGCTAACCAAGTTACTTTGTTATCGTGCCGCACTTCCTTCCATCTATGACCTTCTGGAGCCTCAGGGATTTTGGAGCCTTTAGCGCAATTGATAATTATATCTTCTGCTTCTACTCGCCTTTTCAATTTGCCCATTTTTGGATGTTCACCTCGACCCCTGAAGAGACCGGGAGGTTCAATTCTAAAGTTCCCAATTTTCTCTTTATGTCCATCAATAACACAAGTTCCGTATTCCTTAACCAATGCCTCATTTTTTTCTTTCAAGGCCACCTTCTCTTCTTTGGTCTTATTCCTATTTTTTTCAGCAAGTTCCATGAAATAAGCATGCATCTTTTTGAAATTGCACTTCTTAAGGTCAGTGATAAGTTTCTTTTCCTCCTTGTTCATACATTCCCGCCAGTCATGGAAAAAGTTTTTATTAAACGCGTCTTTGGTTGTATAATCGTGATCTAACATTTTTGCATAAAACCCAGCAACTTCTTCAGCTTCCTCGCTGAGTTTTACTTCTTTGCCATCGTAATAGAATTTGACATGACTGGGAAGTGGTTCGTATGCTGGAGCAAAAACTGGCCCTTTGTGTTCTAGGAAATTCCATTTTACACCATCTTCTTTCTTTTCTTCTTCCCACCTTATAGAAAAAAAAAAAAACGGTTATTATTAGATATGAACTGAAAGGCCTTAGGAACCAAAATCAAAAGCAAGAAATGGAAGACAGAATAAACTTTTCTGAACAACAGGAAAAAGAAAATAGTTTAATCATATCTGGAATACCTAAACAGACAGCTGAATTTAGGAAAATTGTAAAGATTATTCCACTCATGTGTTAGAAATCCCATGAGACAAGTGACGATTTTCAGAATTACAGCGAAAATTCTCTTCTCCATTTGATTAACTAGAGAGAATTACAGCGATAATTCTCCCATGTTATTGTATACATGGTTGTCATCCTAAATTTTGATACAAACAAACGGTTCCTGATAGCAACCATTTATTTGTATTGATTGTTAAGATGTTCAAATCGTTTAATACATATTTATTTCCATATTTTTTGTATTCTCATACGTGAAATAATCCTCTAAATACCACTTGAGCTTTAAAATGAACCAGATATTTTTTCACTCATGCGTGTTTTCTCTGCAAAATAGAAAACACGCAATCGTGAAAAATTATCGGTAATTTTGAAGCTCTCGTGGTATTATCCCCGAAAATGCTTAATGCAATGCAAACAGAAGTGAAATATTGGAGACATACTATGTGTCAAAAAAAGATAATGCACCTATTGTTATCAAGTTGAGGAACAAGATAGGTATCGAAACAAAAAATACAAATTAGGATCAAGCAGCTTAGAGGAATTAAGGTAAATGAATGTGGATTAATGGGAGAGAACAAAAATATATACTTTAATGATGATCTCACCAAAAACAATCAAAATTTGTTCAAAAAATAAGAGAACATAAACAAATCCACAAATATAAATCAGTCTATGTAATGCATGGACAGATTTATTCAAAGAAAAGTGAAAACACAGAACCAATGACAGTTAGACGTGAGAGTGGTCTCACGCAAATGGTATCAGCTGAGACAGAAACCAACTTAACTTTGTTAGTAAAACATACTCAATTTGATTAAACAAACTACATACGTTAAAAATGGACTATAAATATAGTATACATCAACATAAGAAGTCTAAGAAACAAAATAGCAGACCTAAATGACCTAATACAAGGCCAACAAGAAACTATACATATAATAATTGTTCTTAGTGAAACATGGATCTATCTTAATGGAGTTGAATATTCAAATTTGCCCTCATACACTGCTATCCACAACTGCAGAACAACATGTGGGGGTGGCACAGCGATTTATATAAGAAATGGCATAGATTATGTAAATACCACATCAGAAAAAAACATGGAAGATTATAAAATCACCTCCATATACCTACCAAGCCAAAAACTAAACCTATATGGAATGTACAGATCACCACAAGACCAAATACAAACATTTATTCCAACCCTAGAGGAGATTTTAAAATCCCAAAAAAAAGCTTGTATTAAGTATAATAAAATTGGTGATATAAATCTGGATTTGAAGACGTCTCAGGCACAGAGTGACTACTTCAATATAATAGAAATGCGAGTGAATATCTCATGAAAAAACTACAGAGGGCACAAAACAAAGCCATTTAGACACTATTTTACACTGCGACAAAAAAATGTCCAGACCCACCACTATATAGAAGCATCCAAACACACAATTAAAGGTATAGTAACACAATTGCAAGAATTAGAAACAATGGAATGAAGGGCAGAAACCTTTACCTTTGAGACTTTCGTTTCCTCTTGGGTAACCCCAAATCAATCTCTTCTAAATCTAAAATTTCCCTAAATTCTTTTAAATTATAATGTACCTCAGGCACATTATGAGAAAAATCATTTATATTGAGACGTTTCAAGCCATCAATTTGCTTTACTGTGCTCTGAAATTGATCCGAATCCCGACTTTTTTCTTTGTACTGGAATTTATAATGAATTTGTCTTTTCAGCACTAGAGAATCACAGTTTTTTGAACAAGTCCGATTTATTTTAATTAAATTTCTTAAATTAAACCATAAAAGTAGTGAATTTCGCATAATTCCACTAAATATTAACCTAAATAAAAACTAGTAAACAACTAATCACATGGCCGAGTTCCACCATATTGAATTTAAACATACGCAAAATGTTACAGCGCAAGTGCTGAAGGCCGATAAAAGCATGTGGTAGCAAATGCCAGAAAGAATTAAAAATGGAAGTGAAGTGAAGTAGGTTCTATTTCTAGCTTCCTACAGACTTGCTCCGTACAGACTCGAACATCACAACAAATACAACGAACCGAACGACAATCGAAACACTAATTTGGATTGGGTTGCGAACGGCCAGGATTTGCGAACCGGTTTGCTAGCCCAGTACAAATTAGTGTTGTTCTGTTCGGCGTAATGTTCAAGTCTGTACAAAGCTTAAGATCAGTTCTCCTCTAGTTCTTTTTGAGGAAAACTGAGAACTTATGAGGATCAGAGACCAAAATAAGCAAAACAAGAATCATTTAATTTGATTTGAAAAAATAATAAACTGTTAACTTACCATTTCCATACTTCAACTTCTTCCTCTACCTTCTTCTTTTTGCCTCTTTTAGTTGGACTTGCTTCCTCTTTTTTCACTTGCTGCAATGGTTTTTTATCTTTTTTCTCTTTTTTCACCTGAATATCAAAATAACCAAAACTTGATTTTGTTTTATTACTTTATAAAACCAACTACCTTCTTTTTTTTGGGCTTAAAATCTTCCTCCTCATCATCTTCCTCTTCGCGCCTCTTCTTCTTTTTTTCTTTTTTAACTTTTTTCCTGGCGTTGAGAGGCACGTCCTCGTCGTCATCATCTTCATCATCGTCATCATCAATTTTGCGTTTACTGCTCACTCTGGATGACTAGAAATAGAAACAAGAAAAAAATAATAAGAAAATGTGTATGAAAAAATCTCGTATCATACCAAATCCACATGCTGCATGAAAAATTACCAAAATATTAGGATAATTATGTTTTTCTTTTTATCAACAAATCAAACTGGTGTGGAAGTATCCTTGTGCCAGCACCCAAAAAAATTGTTCAAATAAAATCTCATTATACCAAAGTGGGAGATTTGCCTGACATGTTTCATCTCGAAGTACATGGGAAAAGAAAGAAAGAAGAAAAACACCATTAAGGGTGATCTTTCTACCATGTTTTAGACGGAAGCAAAGTTATTTTCCATTTTTGAGAGTATTGAATAAGCTTCTCACCATCTGTACCATACTTAAATTATAGAAAAGCGCAACCTGTATTGCTGTAGATTTTTTTTATTTCTTGAATATCAATTCTTTGGTATAATGAAATAACTTTATACAAGTTTAAATTAAATGTATTATTACCAATAGTAACCTAATATACGTACCAAAGGAACATCCTCATCGCTGTCTACTTCCTCTTTAACTTCCTCCTTGAAATTGTCCTGAGATGTATTTTCCATATCGACATCTTCACCTTCAGAGAAATTAGTTTCATTTTTATCAAAATGCGAATAGTTGTAGTCGCAGCTGGAAGCTTGAGACATGTTATTTGTCTCAGCTTCATCCTGACTCTCATCCTTGATTACCAGCTTGTCATCATCATCGTCACTGCTAGAATGGTCCCTTTGGGTATCTTCTTGTTTCATCTCAAGTGGTTTAATTTCTTCTTCAACTTTGTGCTTGACGACTTCATCTTAAAATTACATAAGTATAGATTTTAATGACTGAAAGCATTATGCCCACCTCTCCAATTATTTTGAAACAATGGCATATGGCAACTTGGGCAAAAGTTTAGGGATTTGTGAAACATTATATTTAGTAATAAATTACACATAAAAAATTTTGATTTTTATTAAATTATATTGACATAAATTGTCAAACTTTAGTGTCAAAACTTACCATCTTTTTTCTCCTTCCTATCCTTATCTCTATCTTTTCTGTCTTTATCCTTGGAACTGCTGCTGCTGGAATGATGTCTATCTTTATCCCGGTGCTTATCTTTTGAGCTACTGCTAGAACTATGCTTCTTATCTTTATCCTTTGACTTTTCCTTGTCTCTTCTTTCTTTATCTCTCTTTTCTTTTTCCCTTTCTTTATCTTTTTCCCTTTCTTTATCTTTAGAAGATGATGAGCTGGATTTATGCTCCTTGGAACTTCTATGCTCTTTATCCTTGTCTTTGGAACTAGATGATGATGATGATTTTTTGTCTTTATCATCTCGATGCCTGTGCCTATCTTTATCTTTCTCGCGCTCCTTATCTTTATCTTTACTAGAGGACTTGTGGGAACTGCTGTGCCTGTCTTTGTCTTTAGAACTGGAATGTTTGTCTTTTTCTCTTTCGCGGTCCTTGTCCCTACTGGACTTGTGATCTTTACTTTTATGCTTGTCTTTGTCTCTATGCTTGTCCCTGTCCTTATCTCTGTGCGAACTTTTGTGATCAGATTTAGAGTTGTCCGAATATCCGTTTAGACCGTTTACAGCTGAACTTCCATTAGCCTAGAAATATATTAACAATAATCCTTCTGATAACTAAAAATACATATTGTGTTTTATTGAAAAAAAAAAGCCACCTCAAAAGAAGGCTTCAGATGCCGGGGAAAACTAGTGAAACTTTCACAAGCGAGTTCCCCAAGGAAGCAACTTGGGTCCCCTGTGTCATCCTATAGTTATGCTGATGATTTTAATCTTTTCAAAACGATTTCTTGTGCAAAAGAATGTGCTGACTTGCAGTTGGATTTAGATGCAGCTATGAAAAGTGCTCGGTAGTCATTTTCATGTAATCACTAATATTATGAATGATGAATTGAGTATAGGGTATCAAATTATGAAGTAGGTACCCACCCTCTGTAACTTTTTTTTGATGGTACCTTCATAAAAAAGTTACAGGGGGTGGTCCTTTATAACTTGACGCCCATTACATTGTATAATTGGATGGGTAGAAATAAGTTGAAATGAATGCTTCTAAAACCAAGTGTATGATAGATATGATGATCTAAACTAAAAAAAACTGTAGAAGATTTAAAGTTAGGGTTGGAACTAACATTGAAGTCCTGAAACAGTGGAGTTGGAAATTAAATATTTAGGAATTCACTTGGATTCCCAACTAGCTTTTTGCAGGCATGTAGACTTTCTGTGAAAAAATAGGGGAAAAAAATGGATTTCATAGGCGAATATCTGTGCACCTATCTTCATAGGCGAAAAACCTCGTGTATAATACTTTTCATTGATGGAAGATTTTTGTAAACTTTAGAAAATCATAACTTTTTTTCTTTTAGAGATGGAAAGCTGAAATTTTCAGCGATTCTTATCTCAGTAGAGGACTACAATCCCTGAAAATTTCAGCTCATTTGGACTTATAGTTCCAGAAATAAAATCGTGTTAAGCAATTTGGGGTGATTTATCAATTTTTCAATTTTTCTGAGTGCCTTTTTCCATTGATTTCAGCTTCAAATCTCAGAACAATTTAGTGTATAGAGTTTGGGGGGTCCCCAATGATCATTTAAATACAGAATTTCAACATAAAAAAAATTGAAATTTAATCATTTTAGTACTAAGGTGAGCTACCTTATAAGTTAGATTTTTGTAAATTTTAAAAAATAATAACTTTTTTTCTATTAGAGATAGGAAGCTGAAATTTCCAGCGATTCTTATCTCAGTAGAGGACTACAATCCCTGAAAATTTCAGCTCATTTGGACTTATAGTTTCAGAAATAAAATTGCGTTAAGCAATTTGGGGTAAATTTATCAATAATTCAATTTTTCTGAGTGCCTTTTTTCATAGAATCCGGCTCCAAATCTCAATAATTTAGTGTATGGAGTTTGGGGGACCCCAATGATCATTTATATACAGAATCTCAACATAAAAAAATTTGAAATTTAATCATTTTAGTACTAATGTAGCTACCTTATGATTTAGATTTTTGTAAACTTTAAACAGTGATAACAATTTTTCCATCAGAGATAGAAAACTGAAATTTTCAGCGATTTTTATCCCAGTAGAAGAGTACAATCCCTGAAAATTTCAGGTCATTTAGACATATAGTTTCCGAAATAAAATTGCGTTAAGCAATTTGGGGTAAATTTATCAATAATTCAATTTTTCTGAGTGCCTTTTTTCATAGAATCCGGCTCCAAATCTCAATAATTTAGTGTATGGAGTTTGGGGGACCCCAATGATCATTTATATACAGAATCTCAACATAAAAAAATTTGAAATTTAATCATTTTAGTACTAATGTAGCTACCTTATGATTTAGATTTTTGTAAACTTTAAACAGTGATAACAATTTTTCCATCAGAGATAGAAAACTGAAATTTTCAGCGATTTTTATCCCAGTAGAAGAGTACAATCCCTGAAAATTTCAGGTCATTTAGACATATAGTTTCCGAAATAAAATTGCGTTAAGCAATTTGGGGTAAAATTATCAATAATTCAATTTTTCTGAGTGCCTTTTTTTCATAGAATCCGGCAGTAGAGGACTAAAATCCCTGAAAATTCCAGCTCATTTAAACTTATAGTTTCAGAAATAAAATCGCGTTAAGCAATTTGGGGAAAATTTATCAATAATTCAATTGTTCTTAGTGCCACCGAATATAGATTATTACTGATTCAATTAAATAAAGTTAGGTATAAATTAATAAATTCAAAATCCTTGCAGAAACTGGAAGAAGTTTATGAGTTTTGATATACCAAAAACAAGATCAAATTCAAAATTAAATAGGTAATTATTTAAGTATGTATAGTCTGTTTTATTGCAGTTGACAACTCAAATCGAGGTTTGGAACCATAAAACCATTGTAAAACATAGGGTTTAAGGTTTAACTGCAATGAAACAGACTATAGTTTGAGAGATTTTTCTACTGTATTTTAGTAATTTCTGGAAAAAAAATTCATATGAAAAGAACAATGGAAACAATTTTCCCAAGACTCTTCCTTATAAAAGTAATTTTGCTTGGAAACTTCAAGATTAGGGAAGTTTTTTGTTACTTTGTGATTGTGATAATTATTTTGTCTGAATGGCCTTGTGTTTGAAGTTTTAATCTTGGTGTTAATGTTGGACCCAAACTGATTAGCCAACGTGCAAATATTATTTAGATTTTTTTTTTCAATTTATTTATATTTGATACAGCTACTGCTAAAAAATAAATCACTAGAGAAGATGCTGGTCAATCAATTAGGGTTTTTAATTAGCCATAAAACTATAAAGAAAAAGTCGAATTTTCTATTGGGTGAAATTGAATAAAACAAAAATGTAATATTTGAACAATAATTTTATGTAATAAAAAATTGGTTTATTAGTTAAATTTACATAACAGCAAAATACCAAGTACAAAGGAAATAAACCCGAAGCACATCTAGATCAATGTCGACTTTCAATTGCTAAAATACCGACGTTTACCTTAAAAATCTCGCCAAAATTCGATCCAGGATTATAGCTACAACATTCATGAATATAAATAAAAAGTTTAAAACACCAAATCCATAGAACAATCGAGAAAAATGAAAAAATACGAATCGCGTGCTGGAATTTAGGGTCGAGACGTGGGACTTAGCCGCTGACGCCATTTTGGGACTTAGAAAATTTTCACGTTTCACTCGACTCGATTTTCACCAGTACAGGGGCTTTATTATAGGCTTTAGGAAAAATCTATGCACGTGGGGCCCTTGGAAATTTAATTTGAAATATTTAAGGGTTCTTACCAGACTGGAATCACCTTCGCCGGCCGAATTATCACCGTCCATATTCGCACAGATTCAGTCAGAAACTATCACTTTTCGTTTCTGTCTGGGAACATTTTACAAGTCCTAGAAGCGAAGCGATGGTGTTTTTGGCAGAGTATTGAAATCGAACCACTGCGCTTGCGTCAGATCACTCATTTACATGATATTCTTTTACTATTTGTCGAACGGGTAAATCAATATCTATCCTTGTTCGTTGCGCTTTAATTAGTTTGTTTCTTTCATTATAAAAATAATCTATTGAAGATTTTCCTACACGTTTTTGCAGGCCATCTTTGTTTATTGCATTCAAAACTATATGTGAAAATAAATTATATTTTATATTGCTTTAAAACGAACTCTATTGTTTCGGATCGTTCACCTTGTTCGCGCTCAAATTCAAATTTCAGTTTTGAATAGGTTTTTGATCTCCCAGTCCCAAGGTTTATCAGTCTATTTTATTAGACATAAAATACCTAAACAGGTTTTCTTGCAGTTTTGAGATTATTTCGCAAGTGCGTTGACCCGCAGTAATAATTTAGAGACAATGGCCGTTTATTTATACAGAATTTTAGTTGTTTATTTATTTATATGGATTCTTTTAGTAAAGAATCTTTGGACTGTCGAACAATTTTCTTTTCACAGGTTTTATGTAGTAGGATTTTTACCTTAGGTTTTTACTATACCTTCAGCAGAGGTACCTACCTTATATCAATAGGTATTATATACCAGGTATTTGTTTGAGTTTCTATTTTCAATAACAGTTATTGAGTTTTAAGAATGGTTTTATTATTAAAACGTTTCCTTTCAAATAATGGTTTCAAAAATGTTTCCACATACAGGGTGTCCCCACGAGGTTTTTTCCAAATGAACTTCGGCATCATCATATGTTCCACTGTATAATTTTTTATCATTTTCTTCACCAAAGCCGTAACAAATAGGTATTATGGCATTGCCGATTTTGTAATTTAATTTTCTAACGAAAAATGCCACGAGTTACATTTAAGATTCGAAAGTTGACGTCACTTGACCAAAATTGAAGCGAAAGTGAACAAAGTGGTGTAATCCGATGAAAATGGTAGAAGCGGCACAAAAAGTTATCCATATTCTCAAAAATTCAATAGACCCATCTATTTTACCAGAAAAAAGGAAATAATACGAAAACTACATTAGATAAAAAAAGACACACAACGCTCATTGTGCAAGACGAGGCAAAACGTACCAAATTATGTTAAGACTTACATATAGCAATCCGTCCTTCTTATTTGCACGGTCTAAAAAGGGAAGGAGAAAGACCGCGTGTTGTGCAACGTATCCGTCAATGAGAATTTTTGAACGACACTTGTCAAGCTATGTTAAGTTGAATATCAACCGTACTTTTATTCTTGTCAGACCACGGACCACGGGCAATGAACAAGGACAAGGAGATGCTCAGCGTGCAAAACGAACACCTCACACCTGTGATAGTTAACCAATGAAAAGGCATTGCCTCGTATTGCGCGCGCATACCACGTAAAAATAGATAGGTCTATTAAATTGGATGTCGCGTTCCGAAGTTATCACCTGAAAAAACGTCGTGGAACACCCTGTATTATAGTCTGGCAAGTGGTAACTTGGTAGCATAGAGAAATATAATAAACCAAGGTAAGAGTTACCGATTCATATGCGCGAAGTGGCAACGTATTTCTAGTTGTTTCTTGTAGCACATGGTGTCGCTAGCATAGCTTGGAACTATCTGACAATTCTGACATCACCTTCCATTCTCATATCTATCTCTTTTTAACAGATGCGATAATAAAGGAAAAGAGGACAAAGGATTTTTTAATTATTGTACAATGAAATGTTCAAAACTGACAAACAAATTTTGGACACAAATTAGTCAACCTAAATCTCAATTTATCAGTTGATTTAAAAATGCATGATTCTGCAGGGTAAGATTTACGAGATATACAATGTGAAAATGGCTCAGTTTATACATAAGTAATGATAATTATTAAATAGTAACCTATTATTAGTAGAAAGTGAGATGTTTTGGCTGTTATTGCTTTTTTTTGTTGTTATCTTGCGGATAAGTATAATTTAATTTTTATTATTTCTTTATTTACGTTGTTTATGTATATTTATTTTATTTTCGAAAGATGAAAATATATGAGCCAATTTTAAAGCGATTAACCGTATTTATTTTTGTTTCCATGCCAGCGTTTTTCCGCAATTTTTTTTCTGTCGACCGCGGAAAAACGCTGGGTTAAATTTCTACCTTCAGAAATAACAAAACTATAATTTAAAACTTCAAATAGCCCGCCAAATGTTATTTAAGTTGGTCTTGTAGTGTACGGTGGCGCTAGTATCGATCTGACGTCATCGCGTTGCCAGTGTCGTACCCAATGGTCGTACCACAGAATCGGTAACTCTCACCTTGGTTTATTATATTTCTCTATGCTTGGTAGAGACGAAAGGGGGCAGAAAAGTGGGGCGTAATCAGAATATTCGCTGACACCTCAACTGACACCGCTTGATGACAGCCATGTCTTAGGGTTCAGTGGCACCGGAAACACGAATCAATAAAATTATTAGAAAAAAATTCTTGAGTTTTCTCAATAACCACGCCACTGTGCTGTCGTTCAGGCTCTAACCAATAGAATCATGCCTCTGAATAATCACGCCTCTCCACATCCATCATTTTGCAATGTTGCCGGATTTTTTTCTATTTCAAAATACTAGGTACACATGCCCATATTGCAAAAAAAAAATATGTCACCAGCATTATTGTTTCCGTCAAGTTTGGCAAAGCAGCAAATTCTATTGCAGTTCGCCGTTTGGCTAGCCCATTGAGTAGCCAGACAATATAAAGGTTGATATACCTACCTTTTTAAGACATCCATATATATTCACTCACAGAATATGTAGGTACAAACTTCAGAGGTAGGTACCTACCTACCTAACTAATAACTACATACTGGCAAATAACCCATATTATGAATGTATTTTCATTTATTATTTTATTGATGATCAACCAGTATTATGTTTCTCTATGATGCACACTTATTAGAATATGAATTATAGGTAATTGAATGTATAATTCGTAAAATCTGTTTTTTTTTTTAAAGATAAAAGTCAAAATGACATTATGTTGGCAATACAATGTAAAATTGTCAAATCTTTCAAATTTTTTATGTAGAAAAGGCTTGTGTTGCCAACATAGTTACTAAATTTTTGACTTGGGGAATTATCTTTAAAAAAAAAACAGACTTTACCTACCTATTAGCGGTATTAGTAACTAATTAAGTCCAAATTTCAAGCAGGAATACTTTAATTTGGAAAAACTTGAATTAAATCAATTTATTAGTTGGCGTTTTCAGGGATTGACAAAAAAAATAAATTATTGGATGAAGCACGGCCGTGGATGAAGCTTAATTTTTCTCTGCATCTTCGTTCTCATTTTCTCTCCTAGTCCTATGGACTTATCCTTAACAATAACTTAAGTAATACACCTTTCCTTCACTTATGTCATTCTATATTTCATTTTTTGCCTTTACAAGTACATACTTATAACTACTGTTAGGTAGATATTTTCATATTTATCTTTGATTTGTTTTATTCAACCCCCTATTTTCTATTATTAGATTTCTGTGCTTTCCCAGCAGTCTTTTTTGAATAAAATGTTGTGGCTTTTCTCTCCCATTTTCTAATTGGTTGCGGTACCCTTATCCTCTTATAAGTACCTACATTGACAATTTGGTTTTTTTAATAGATCATCTACTGAATGGATGAATGAAAATTGGTCAGAAAGTCTTCTATCCAAATTGTTTTTTTTATTTAGACGTAGGTATATATCTCTATTTTGGATTTATAGAATAATGGCTCTCACAAGAAGTCTTTGGCCATCCAGTAGACTGTGGACACCTTCTGTACTGATGGAGGTGACTATATTTACATACTTATGTACGTACCTACCTGGTTATTATATTACTCAGTTTTTAGAATTATTGTCAACTTTCTATCTGGGAAAATAAACAGTCTTATCAGTGTCACTACCTTTCTTAGCATACTCATCCCTTTTTATCATGTAATTCGTCCAATAGCTGGTGGTAAAACCGATGAAGCTATTGTTGCGTTTAAAAATCTGTTTTTATTGTATGTGTGGTTCTAACTGCACTATTCCTGAGTTCTTTGCCTCACTGTGTGCTCTTCCAGGGCGTTCCATAAATAAACAATTCTGTCACTTAGAAAGTTTCTTCTAGACAATTTTGCAGTTCATTCTTTTTCAAGTTTCTCCGAGTGCTCACAAAGATAGTTTTAGTTCTGTACAAAGATTTCGCTTGCAATAATTCATCATCTTCATAAGCAGCCACTCCTGAACATAGGCCTCCCCTTCCAATTTCCATCTCTGACGGTCTTGTGCAATGTGTTGCTATCCTCTCCCTGCCCTCCGGTAAACGTCATCCATCCACCTCTTTTGGGGTTTCCCTTTGCCGCGTTTGTGTGTTCTTGGTTTCCACTTCATGACTATTTCTATCCATCTGTTGTTCGGTTGCCTCGCCACGTGTCTTGTAATAATTATAGTAGTTATTTTGTATGTTTCGATTAATGTCTTCTCTACTTTAAAGTTGTTAGTGTTAGTCAATTTCTCTGTGTATAGTTCTGGTGGTATTTTTGTAACTCATTTTTGTAGCTTCTTCAGAACTTCTTTTATCTTTGACATAGTAAAGGAATTCCACACTAAGAAAGCATATTCAAGCTTTGATCGTTTGTAACTTTTTTACAGTTTGCCTATCATTTCTATTGAGTGGTCTTTAAATGCTTGTTTAATGAGGTAAACCTACAAAAATATTCGATTTTTTGGCAATCTTTAAAATGTGGTCCTCCATTTCAGGTCTGAAGTTATCATTTCGAATTGTCACAGTTTATAATGTAATGTCACAGTGTTTAGTTCGTATTCTTTGTTTGAAGCGATTCTTAAGACTGTACATTTGGACTGATTCAACTTCATTCCCTGATCTGTAGACCATTCTTCAACAGGTTTTAGGTCAGTCCTTAGCTGCCCTGCATGTACTTTAGCGGATTTGTATAAAGCTTCTCATCATCTGCTAAGTTTTTCATTTTAGATTTAATGAGACTGACAATATGATGTGAAAAGCAATGGGTCGATGACCGAACCCAGGACAACTCCACTACTGAGAAGATATTGATTGGACAGCACACCATTTACTCTAATTTTATAAAATCTCTCATGCAGTAGGTCCTCATCACTGCAATGAGTTGGCCTCTCACTTCAAAGTATTTGAACTTTTGTTGAAGTAGATTGTGAGACTTTGTCGAATGCCTTCTTATAATCAAGATAGAGATCACATCTATGGGTTGAGGATTATCATGGCTGGTTCAATCTTGAATAAATTTCAAATTTGTTGTTGTAGAAGGTTTAGAGAGAAATCAGTTTTGTGAGGGTGGTACGAGATTTTTTTCAAAGAAAAACGCAGTCAGTTTCCTAACAATTATCTTTTCCATGCATTTTAATGGATTGCATGTTAGACTAATTGGCCTATATGTTGATCACGTTTTTTAAATAGTGGAGTCATTATAGATTTTTCCCATTGCTGTGGAATATTTCCAAATGTAAAGTACTCCTACATAGCCTCAGCTAGTTGAGAACTAATCGATCTGCCACAGTTCTGCAGTACTATCGTAGGTATTTCATCCAGGCCTGGACTGGACTCTGTTTTATACTTTTTAGGGTTTCCTTGACTTTTTCTTCATTGAAAGTTATAGATTCAAAAGGTTCTTCAACCCTCGTATGGATCGGTAAAACAAGGAGAGTAAGAATCTGCCGAGTGAAGGCTTAATCAAACTGCTTTACATACTTTTCAGCAATGAAATTGCTGTCTAGAACATTATTTGTTATGGGGTCTTTTAGAGTAATTTTCGTTACTTTCGACTTCAAGTGTAGACACTATAGTTCTCTGTTGTTTTATTGCTCCTATACTTGTCCCATAATTTTCTTTTTTTGTTGGTTTCTGCTCGTTTACTTACACCAACTTCAATGATATGTATTGATTTATTTCACTCTTCTACCAAGTTCTATTGATACTTGACTATTTGCTATTTTTCCATGATGCAACTACTTATCCTGGCTTTTTGTAGATTTGCACCCTTTTTCCAATCATGTCTCTTGTCAAGTCAAACATCCTTGCTTTCAAGTTTTATTCTACTATATAGTGTCTCAGCTTTTTGTACAAAAAAAATTGTAAGCAAATATAAAGCAATAAGTTCTTTACAAATTGTATAAAAATTTGGACCAAGGAAGCTTGTGGACTCTTCTCATTAGTTTGTAAGAGACTTTCTAATTATTCTCCTTAGTGCCAGAGAAAAAAAAATATTTGTACATTTTTACAAGAAACACCCTTAGGAATAAATTTCCTTGGCTCACATTAAAGGTAAAAAAAAAATAGAAAAATCATTTAGAGCAAGTAATTGTTGGAAAACTTTATCTGGGGTATCTAAAATAAAGTCTACTTACTGTCACAAAAAGGTTAAAAAAAACAACTTGAAAGTTAAATAAATAATACGTACTAAGCTACATCATCCTCCTTAAAAATATATGTATATATTTTTATAACGAATTCCTAATAATTGTTGCTATGATCAGTATAAAGTAGAACCCTGATTATCCGAGCCAACCTAAAGACCCTGATTATCTGAAGTATGCATCTCTATAGTCCGTAGTAACCAAGCTTCTAAAATATATTTATACATAATATGAACATACATATTTCCATTTAAAATTGTCAGTGCTGACAGGGAAGCTTCTTGGGCCGAGCGAGTGCTTCCCCTATTTGTTTTAAAGTTGTTTTAGCATGTAAATTTGCGTAAATCCAAATTATCTTAATTTTAAGTTATCCCATGGGGGTGCCCTTAAGTTACTTCGGATAACCGGGGTTCTATTGTCCTAAGTATAATATGTGCATCAAAATTACATGAAGATTGTTATTAAAATTTCTTGGAGCTTGACATTGGAGAAAAAAAAAACTATTGCATGCCCAAAGCCCATTTCTGCTGTACATAAATAAAATAATAACTTTTCTCCAAATCTATCAGAAAAAATTTTCAATCGTCAAATATCATAACAAGGAGTTCCATCAGCATTCCATGTACTCTTAACTTTTTCAAACACAAAAGTCAAATACAAAGCTAAAATAAAATAATAATTATTACACAAAACAAAAATTAGACAACAACATCTTACAAGAAACCTCCCATTCACTTTTGGACAGAGTACCAATTTTCCCACTGTCTCTGGCCTCTTTTTGTACAAACTCTTCAGCATGGAGATAATCACCTGAAGCATCTCCAACTAAAGTACATCCTTCGTTTGGCGGATAACTTTCCAATGCTCTCATATTAGTAAGCAGCTGCCTTCCTTCATTTTTCACCCTCTCAAAAAAATCCATAAACTTCTCCTTCTTAACTAACTTCAAACCAAATTTTTTAGCAAGTTTTACAAAAACAGGAAAGTGTACTAGAAACTCTGGGCAATTCACCACTCCATCTAATTGAAAATTGTATTTGCCACCAAAAAGAGGAGGTTTATTCACGTCAAACTCCAAGCTTACTTCTAATACAGCATTGCCAAATGAGCCTGTGATAGATGATTTTTTAGCTCTAGCAATTATTTCATTGGAATCTGGCATTGTACCAATAAAAAACCCTCCTGGCAGCAAACATTCTGAAGCATTTTTCATCATACATTCAGCTTGTGATAAACTCTCAAAACTGTAATGGAAAGCAAACTGGCAGCTGACCAAGTCCAATTTTATGGAAGGATCCTTATACTTTTCTCTTAGTCTAATTTTTCCTGCATCACCTGGAACAATTTCCATGGAAAATATATTGCCTCTACGATCATTTTGTGATCTACGTTTCATGTCTGCATACCTTTGTTTACAGTGTTCTAATGAAACTTCAGCAATGTCGCTACAAATTAAATGAGTAATGTTTCCTATTTTCCATTTTTGTAAATCTCCACCCTTGCCACAACACATATCATGCACCCTTATTGGAGGATTATGTTGCTTTTTGGAGTCTTTGATTTTTGTTAAGTACTCGTTAATAAGCATACTTTTAATCCAATTATGAAAGTTTCTCATGTGTACTATGCGGCTTTTCGATCTCTCATCTAAACCTTTTTCTTCTATAAGGTTGTAGTGAGTGGCTACTACCTGAGCATGACTGCTATCACTGGCAGTTTCAGCTAGTTTATTATTGTGGGGACTACAAGAATCATCATAGTCGGTTTTGATATGCTTTCTGACAGGTTTTTCATCTTTTACATCTTCAAGTTTCTTTTTAGTTCTTGAAGGCTTACTTACCGGACTAGATTCGTAATCAGTAGTATTTTCGTTGGCTTTATTAGTAACTTCTTCGGGATCTTTGGTTGAATTATAATAAGAAATATCGGTACTTGCATTGCTGGTGAGTTGAGGCTCCGGGGAGACGCTTCCGGGACGTTGTTCTTCTTCGTATTGTCGAGAATCGGCTGCTGCAGCCGCCAACATTAGAGTTTGTTCCAAATCGTCAGCATTTTCACTCATTTTTGGGAGGTGATTTTGATTTGATTAGGAAATACAGGAAATATTTATTAATTTCAAATAAAATTAATATGTAAATAAAAGCGACAATTGACAATTGAAATGACAGATGTCACGATTGTCACGAATACATAGGGCGTTTTCTTTTATCCAGCAATGGAACTATCCACAAAACGTTCCATCTGCTGCCAGCATAATGAGACAGCCATTCCGATTTTCTATGAACTAGACAAAGATAGGGCAGGTCATTGATGGATCCACCGCTGAATAAAAGAAAGCGCCCATAGCTACTGCCGCATTCTTCTTTTCTGAAAAAAGAATAAGAAATATCGTAGCTAACTTCCGTTGAGTGACCAGTAAGTGGAGGGAGTGAGTGTTATGACTTTTCATTTCATTCCTTTTCACTAGTTTTCACATCATCCACCAATCAAATCAGCAGTTAGTTATTGATTGTCGAAGATATTGGAGTTGAAAATCGAAAAAAACACACAGAAAAATGTCCTCAATTTTGTGCCCAGAAATTCCTTCTCCTGGCTTTTCTTTCGAAAATTGCAGGCGGTAAGCATACTTAATCGCAACCGTACCAAACTTTCCACAAGAAGTGAATTTTGCACTGTTTTGCTTGGTCACTCAACATAAACATAACCTCAACGTAAACCATTATTTTTCAAAATTATTGTTTTAATAATTATTTTATAGAAATGCTATGCTCGAAGTCAAGGGCCATGCGATGCCCAAAGCCCAGAAAACCGGAACCACCATTGTGGGCATTATTTACAAAGACGGTGTTATTTTGGGTGCCGATACCAGAGCTACTGAAGACACTACTGTAGCGGACAAAAACTGCGAGAAAATTCATTATCTAGCCCCAAACATGTAGTGAGTATCTCATTTCTTTTCAGAAAATACCATTTATGAAAGTGTAAATATGTATATTCAGTATGCATTTCCCTATTTTCACTGGTAGGGTTGCAGTGTTTGTTCAAAAAGCCCCAGAGCATAGAACAGTTCAGTATACAGCATGTAGAGGTCTATAAACCTAGCATTCCCAAGGTGGAAAAAAACTTCGGGAACTATATAATAGCTTTGTTCGCTCGTCCGATTTCGAATCGGTTCAGAACTAATTCGGGATTGTCATAGAGCACATGCCTAGTTAAGAATCGGTTCAGGATTTCTTTTTACCGTGAACGATTTTGGAATCGAAAACCCAATACTTTTATTTATTTATTTATTTATTTATTTATTTACGGGCAAGACCCATTAAAAGTTTCAAAAGAAAAAAAACAAGAAACATTAAGTACCTTACAACTAAATAAACATAGGCCAGTAATACTTGGCATAGTAACAGGTTAAAAATACATATGAATTATTAACAGTAAAACATTAAATCAGTTATAGGTATAAGAAAATAGAGGACAAACATAAATAATGACTGATCAAGATGACTAGAAATTCTTGGCTATCGAACTTGGTATCACAAACAAACGAGGAGAATTACATTAGAGAGTTAAGCTCTTTTTTAAAGCTATTTATGGGTCCAAAAAAATCCAGGCTACCATGGGTGTTACATAATCGAGAAGTTCTGGAGATGAATGTATTGAAACCATAGTTTGTACGGTGATTTCTTTCTGAGAAGGTTATGGCAGAGCGGGTGTCCCTTGCTGGGACGTGAAGCCCTATTCTGGACAGTAGGTACCTATTCTGGACAGTAGGACAATTAGGGAATCCAAACCACGTGACTACTGCCAACCAGCCGGCATTTTGAAATTTTTATGAGGTTACCTCGTGTTTTGATAAAGCCTAGTACTCATAACCGCGAAATTCACTCTTTTTTGACATTGCTTCGACAATTTGACATTTGATTCACGCATAAAACGTCAAATTGTCGAAGCAATGTCAAAAAAGAGCAAATTGCGCTGTTATGAGTACTAGGCTTAATTCTGCCGAAAAAAAAAAAAACATAATATTATGTTTTTTGTTTATTGTTTTGTGTTGTTTGCCAACCAGACGCCATTTGGACAGGTCGTTGGATTGCCTAATTAGGGACTCTAATTAAAAACTAGGTGCTCCTTTAGTTTCTGAGAAAATCAAAAAAAACTAAGGGACTGCTAGGTTTATAAAAGCTAGCAGTCCCCTATAGTAAAAAATATTTTTTCAAATTTTTTCTTTGTATCAGAATTAAGTGCTTTTTAGGTGCTCCTAAATAGTCGAAGAAAAAATAGAATTGATTAATTATTAACTGTTACCGATTTTTTTTTAATTATAAGGGGACTGGTGGCTGTACGTTTACTTGTTGGTGTGACCGAATGGCAAAAAAACTTCGAAATCTATATCTGTACCTCAGAGATAAACTGTATTAAGTCACTTTTTTTTCGAAAATGGGGTTTTAGCTGAATACTACTTCTAATAACTTACTTGACCTCCGGAAAAAAATTTCATACACCTAGCTTTTAAGACAACCGAAGTACCCAGTTGGAACCTGTGTCAAGTGACTCACCAGGCTTAAAGGTAAATTTTACTAGAATCACTTAGTGTCAGTATATTAAATTATAATATTATGACTTAATACAATTTACCTCTGAGGTACAGATATAGTAATTAGGTGCTAATTAGGGCCTCTAATTAAAAATTAGGTGCTCCTCTTGTTTTTGAGAAAATCAAAAAAAAACCAAGGGATTACTAGGTTTATGAAAGCTAGTAGTTCCTTATAGTAAAAAATATTTTTCCAAAATTTTCTTTTGTATCAGAATTAGGTGCTTTTTAGGTGCTCCTAAATAATCGAAGAAAAAATAGAATTGATTAATTATTAACTGAGTTACAGATTTTTTTTTAATTATAAGGGGACTGAGTGCATGATGTCTTAAGAGTGCACTTCTTGATGCTGAAAAATAGGTATTTCGCGTTCGGGACTATGCTGTTTTAATAAAAACAGTTGCATCTAGGGAATTCTAACTAAAACTGTTTTTAAGAATGTACTTTTGTGCTTGCTTGACCAGTAATTTTTTTTTGATTTTTCTAATTTTTTGAAAAAAAAAATTCATAAAATGAGAAATATCAAAAAAAATTTACTGGTCAAACACGCACATAAACATATCCTTGAAAAAAGTTATCGGGTAAAATTTCCTAGATGCAACTGTTTTTATTAAAATAGAAAAGGCGCACTCGCGATTTTCAGCATCGAGAAACGCACTCTTAACTTTTAGGCATATGAAAATATGTAGTTTATAATGCTTTGGTTCGTCAATTATGGTATAGTGGTGTGAGGCTGTCTAGTTTGCGACAGTAATTTATTAACACCAGATCAATTTTATTGATTTATGTGAAGAAATTCGTACTATAGACAGAGCATTATATTAATTATGGTATTAATTATTAATATAAGAAATAACCGGTGTGAAGTTAGCAGCCTTTTTGCAGCAGCCAAAAATGTGAAGTTAGCAGCCATTTGTAGCAGCCAAAATTGTGAAGTTAGCAGCCATTTTTTGGCAGCTCTTTTTTTTTTAAATGGTTGATTTACAAATTTTGTGTACATTATTATTATATACCCTCGGGCAAAGTACAACAGAAAAACAAAACAAAAAACTACCCTTAATAAAACATCAAGTAGAACATTAATATCTACAAAACAACTTTTTTAAAATAAAATGTGACACCATGAAATTTAGAATAGTCTTTAACATAGCCCTCAAGTACGTCTAATTCGAAGAACAACCCCTTATTGCCATCAGGCTGGGATCAACCCTTATTATTAAAATAATTGGAAAAGCACATTTCGGAAAAATGTAACACCATCAAACTCAGTGAAACGATCATCAGAACCATTTCGAACATTCCCACCAAAGGACAACCCCTTACCTGCCGTCAGAGTGTGTTAAAAACTACCCTTAGTACGAAAATAATAGAAAAAAATTGGAAAAACACATTTCGAGAAACTGTAACGCACTGAAACTTGATTGGGACGATAACTAGAACCATTTCGAACATTCCCACCAAAGGACAACCCCTTACCTGCCGTCAGAGTGTGTTAAAAACTACCCTTAGTACGAAAATAATAGAAAAAAATTGGAAAAACACATTTCGAGAAACTGTAACGCTCTGAAACTTGATTGGGACGATAACTAGAACCATTTCGAACATTCCCACCAAAGGACAACCCCTTACCTGCCGTCGGAGTGTCTTAAAAACTACCCTTAGTACGAAAATAATAGAAAAAAATTGGAAAAAACACATTTCGAGAAACTGTAACGCTCTGAAACTTGATTGGGACGATAACTAGAACCATTTCGAACATTCCCACCAAAGGACAACCCTTTACCTGCCGTCGGAGTGTCTTAAAAACTACCCTTAGTACGAAAATAATAGAAAAAAATTGGAAAAACACATTTCGAGAAACTGTAACGCTCTGAAACTTGATTGGGACGATAACTAGAACCATTTCGAACATTCCCACCAAAAGACAACCCCTTACCTGCCGTCAGAGGGTCTTAAAAACTACCCTTAGTACGAAAATAATAGAAAAAAATTGGAAAAAACACATTTCGAGAAACTGTAACGCTCTGAAACTTGATTGGGACGATAACTAGAACCATTTCGAATATTCCCACCAAAGGACAACCCCTTACCTGCCGTCGGAGTGTCTTAAAAACTACCCTTAGTACGAAAATAATAGAAAAAAATTGGAAAAACACATTTCGAGAAACTGTAACGCTCTGAAACTTGATTGGGACGATAACTAGAACCATTTCGAACATTCCCACCAAAGGACAACCCCTTACCTGCCGTCAGAGTGTGTTAAAAACTACCCTTAGTACGAAAATAATAGAAAAAAATTGGAAAAACACATTTCGAGAAACTGTAACGCTCTGAAACTTGATTGGGACGATAACTAGAACCAATTCGAACATTCCCACCAAAGGACAACCCCTTACCTGCCGTCGGAGTGTCTTAAAAACTACCCTTAGTACGAAAATAATAGAAAAAAATTGGAAAAAACACATTTCGAGAAACTGTAACGCTCTGAAACTTGATTGGGACGATAACTAGAACCAATTCGAACATTCCCACCAAAGGACAACCCCTTACCTGCCGTCGGAGTGTCTTAAAAACTACCCTTAGTACGAAAATAATAGAAAAAAATTGGAAAAACACATTTCGAGAAACTGTAACGCTCTGAAACTTGATTGGGACGATAACTAGAACCATTTCGAACATTCCCACCAAAGGACAACCCTTTACCTGCCGTCGGAGTGTCTTAAAAACTACCCTTAGTACGAAAATAATAGAAAAAAATTGGAAAAACACATTTCGAGAAACTGTAACGCTCTGAAACTTGATTGGGACGATAACTAGAACCATTTCGAACATTCCCACCAAAGGACAACCCCTTACCTGCCGTCAGAGTGTGTTAAAAACTACCCTTAGTACGAAAATAATAGAAAAAAATTGGAAAAAACACATTTCGAGAAACTGTAACGCACTGAAACTTGATTGGGACGATAACTAGAACCATTTCGAACATTCCCACCAAAGGACAACCCCTTACCTGCCGTCAGAGTGTGTTAAAAACTACCCTTAGTACGAAAATAATAGAAAAAAATTGGAAAAACACATTTCGAGAAACTGTAACGCTCTGAAACTTGATTGGGACGATAACTAGAACCATTTCGAACATTCCCACCAAAGGACAACCCCTTACCTGCCGTCGGAGTGTCTTAAAAACTACCCTTAGTACGAAAATAATAGAAAAAAATTGGAAAAACACATTTCGAGAAACTGTAACGCTCTGAAACTTGATTGGGACGATAACTAGAACCATTTCGAACATTCCCACCAAAGGACAACCCTTTACCTGCCGTCGGAGTGTGTTAAAAACTACCCTT